TGCATACATACATACATACATACATACATACATACATACATACATACATACATACATACATACATACATACATACATACATACAAACATATATATATATATTTAATATATATAAATAAATGACAATCTATCATAATTGTTGTTCTACATTATAATATTTATTTAGAAAGTAGAGTTAATAGTTTTCAGGTACCCATTGATCTTTTAGACTTTGTCGTATACAACCAAACACTACATACAAGCAAAGAGCACTTGTTGAGATGGACTACAAAGCATTCAATGTAAATGCTTTTACACAGCTGTACGTTATTGTTGACAACCGAATACTGTGTATAGGCCTCTCTTACATATTCGTTGTGAATAGTGATCTATCATCAAGTAAACAAAACTAGCTAGGAACCTAGAATAGAAATCCACTGAACGTTGGATACTACTGCATGCAGCTGATTGTTTTAAATGTTAGACTCATTTTTATTCTACATCCATACATTATAAAGCAGAAACAATTTGAACCGCGTGTCATTAATCTACGAATTCCCAGCAAACCTCTGTCTACTTACTATGAATCCATCATTTAATATTTCTGCGTACCTAAAGCGTAACCGGTACTTTTTACAAGTTCAGATTACATTTTACTTAGTTTTCGGACGTCTCCATAGCGATCTTGTCGGCCTTGGCAACGACAGTCTCGATGTTTCCTACCATGTAGAAGGCAGCCTCGGGCAGATGATCGTACTCACCACTCATAACAGCCTTGAAACCAGCAATGGTCTCCGCGAGGGGTACCAGCTCACCGGGGACACCGGAGAAGACCGTAGCAGCGGTGAAGGGCTGTGACAGGAACTTCTGGATCTTACGCGCACGGGCGACGGTAAGCTTGTCCTCTTCGGACAACTCATCCATACCCAGAATAGCAATGATATCCTGAAGAGCCTTGTAATCCTGAAGCATTTTCTGCACGTTACGCGCAGTGTCTGTGGAGGGGAGGGGAGTTGCTTAGTAGCGCTGCGAGTGATATGAACATGAATTTGTACTGCACAGGAAACAGATATGCCAATTAGCCACAAAACAGAATAGGTACAGCCTACGGAACTCACAGTCACTACATAGAAACGTCACGGTGTAGTCGTACACCTCGCTGTTTGGTATACTATACGCACCAAACAAAAAGGTACCACCAATGGGAATAACCACCCAACAGACAGGTTAAACTCACAAACCTAGAACCTCCTCGAGAAAAACCGCACACGACATACTGTAGTGATCCTCGCCAACCACACGAGGGTCCAAGATTCGGGAACTGGAATCCAGGGGATCGACGGCAGGGTAGATACCCTGTTCGGTAATGGCACGAGACAACACAGTGGTGGCATCCAAATGGGCGAAGGTGGTGGCGGGGGCGGGATCAGTCAAATCATCGGCGGGCACATACACAGCCTGTACAGAGGTAATGGATCCCTTCTTGGTGGTGGTAATACGCTCCTGCATCGTACCCATATCAGTGGCGAGTGTAGGCTGTTGGGGGTGGGAGAGTATGGTTAGAAACATGCAACGAGCCAGCACTTGCACGGCATAGGAATGAAACATGTGCGTTGCTCAATGCATATAAACAAAAGCTATAGTTTGATCCATAGCCGGCTTCGCAAAAAATGAGTACGCAAATCCTCATAGTAGACGCTACGATATGTGCGACGAGATAAACCTGAGCAACACTCATCGGGTCTGCTAACTAGGACAACAATGAACCCACACTCGATTAACCGGTTGCATGCATACACTCCAAAGCTTCGGAGCAAACATGCGCAAAGAATGATGGTCTTAATGCAAAGGTTGACCCGGAACACCCACCTGGTAACCAACAGCGGAGGGGATACGACCTAGAAGGGCAGACACCTCGGAACCAGCCTGAGTGAAACGGAAGATATTGTCAATGAAGAAAAGCACATCCTGACCTTCGTAATCACGGAAATACTCGGCGGAAGTCAAACCAGTCAAGGCAACACGGGCACGGGCTCCTGTATGGTGGAGGGAGATTCAATGGTGGATAAGAATAGATGATTTGGTTGCTACACGAAAGTGTATCTAAGAAGAATATGGAAGACGTGCTGACCTATTATAATCCCGAATGATTGCTTATGCCACACACGTAAGGTTAACTTGTGTACATTCGGCAGTTACTGTTCATAGTTGGTTGTGAATTGAGAGATTTTGCGCTTACGTTCACTCTAACTCGCAATCGCATACCAACGCAAAGTACAGTCCAGAACACAAACCCTGACCATCCACACGAAAGAGAAACACACAATGATACGACCAATGCATACCTGGGGGCTCGTTCATCTGTCCGTATACCAAGGCCACCTTGGATCCAGGTCCATCGGGAATGATGACACCAGACTCGATCATTTCGTAGAACAAATCGTTACCCTCGCGAGTACGCTCACCTACACCGGCGAACACGGAGAAACCTCCGTGGGCCTTGGCGATGTTGTTAATCAACTCCATGATGAACACAGTCTTACCGACACCGGCACCTCCGAAAAGTCCAATCTTGCCTCCCTTTACGTAGGGGGCTAGCAGATCGACAACCTGATGCGTGAAAAACCACCAACGAGGACAATTGAATACACACGACTTGCCACTGTATCTGGTTCCTAGAACAAAGGCGATATGCCAACTCCGAACTGGACTGTGTTTGAATTATGTTGAAAGATTTGGGTATAGACAAGCTGACGCATGGCGCCATTTGCATACATCGATAGTACGAATTATACTAAAACTCTGTATCCGTTCCATTCGCGTATACATGTTATATATAGTAGATAGATATTTATATACACTCGATATCCGACTAGCGTAGTTAGAATTAGATACTAAAGCGCCAATATCAGAGAAAGGTCGTTCACAAAAAGGACAGCAACGGTATTTGTACGAACAAAACATCCAATAGTGGGTGCACTAATGGATGTCTTGTATCAGACTAATATAAACACATCCAAAGTAAATTAAGTACACACCTTGATACCGGTTACCAGAATCTCGGCCTCGGTGGACTGATCCACGAATGGGGGAGCAAGATTGTGGATGGGAAGCTCCATCTTAGCATCGATGGGACCTCGCTCGTCAATGGGCTCACCAATAACGTTGATAATACGTCCAAGGGTAGCGACACCTACGGGGATCATAATGGGGGCTCCGGTGTTCTGAACTACTTGACCACGGATTAGACCCTCGGTACCGTCCATAGCAATGGTTCGCACGGCGTTCTCACTGCATGCATTGAACGTTGGAAATGCTTTAGATGATAGCCGCTTATGGATATTTGTGCTACGCAAAAAGGCAGTATGCGCTATAGATATGAATAGAAGCTGTAATCTCGTAAGCACACGTGCACGTCCAGGACTTCACGTGGTCTTTACAATACAAGAAACACACTGATGTATTAAAAAACAAATCAGATCATATCGACTCAAAACACGTATTTCGTGTCGTTACGAGTAAAATATCGTCTCAGATCTCAAAAAAAAATAGACGTCAAACTCAAATATCACTGCACTATACTTACAACACTATTGGTGGTGTCAAGTGGAGTAATGAGCGAGCTCATATATCTTCTGGAAGATGCAGAAGTGCTTTTGAGCAACACAAGGCCGAAAAAGTACATACATATCACCAAACAATAATGTTAAAAGCGACAGAAAACAGTGAACCGATACATTCACAAGCACTACATCCGTGCAAGCGCAATGCAGGCATCGATCATGTTAACAAGTACATCAACATACCCCAAATGCTGAGCGACTTCAAGCACAAGACGCTTTCCATCCTTCTGCATATCAAGCGCAGTTAGAATGGGGGGCAGATCTCCGTCGAACTGGACATCAACAACAGCTCCGATAACAGAGATGATGCGACCAGTCGAGGCAGCGGCAGCACCGGCCATGGTACGGGCTATGTAAATCATGCAGCGTGAAACATAACGGAAGTTAAAAAACTATCACGCGTGAGTGGAATAACAGTGGTAAATGATCAAGCTTGAACGTATGCGTTAAGCCTCTTTCAAAGTAAAGTAAAAACACCTCTATTGTGAATCAGGCTGAAAGCAACATACTCCATACTACGAGCTACACTATATCTCAAGGTCTAACGTTACAATACAGCCTCGTACTGCGCTTTATATTTAACGAATACATGAACAAAGATACAATTCGGAAAATACACATCGAATAAGTCGAGTGTGCCCGCTAATTAAAGCATAATAGACGCTCATGGTCTAATTCAAACTAGAAATGCAAGCTCAGTGTATCCTGCCAGAGACAGTCCTGCTTGTTTTCAAAACTCGTTCTGTATATACAGATCCGATATAATTATATGTATATACACTTGTTTCATGTAAATTAACTCTCCAGTGAAGAGTTCACGATACTGGTATCGTTCTCAGCCAATACGAATCCACAAACATGAAAAGAAATATCCGATGAGAACCTAGACTATAGACTATAATAAACAAACCTAACATACAAACTTGCTAACACACACACTTACCCATCAACTTGTTGACGGGAGCACGCCTTGCGGCATGGCTCAGAGACGTACGTAGACTAGCAAACATATTGTATGATACTACTAACAGAACCGTTCAGCCAACTTTGGTTTATATTTCTCTTATTTCTGTATCCGTATGGATCGCGGATATTTTTTTTGTTTCTCTGTTTTTTTCCTCTGCCCCAAATTTGTACTACGGTGCTGTGCAAGGCCAAACCCAATGCATTTCCTACTACCAAAAGTGCGTGGAACACCAAAACGAGCAAAACAGTTCTAAAAATAGCCCAAACCGTTCTAAAAATAGTGCAAATGTAGGTACTGACCTAATTTGAAATGCGACCTAATTTTTATGTAAATATTTTTATCAAAATAACATAGCCTTATAAATTGAAACAGGGGTTTTTTTAGAAGACTATGAAGATACTACCGCATTTGTAAATGCTGCTGCATATTTATTTAAATATTTACAGTGGCAACTGGCAACAGGTGCTGTAGTGAAGTCTGGCCTATGTACTAGTACAAACTGCTGGAGCAATCCCAAATTAGGAAAATCGGGCGCAAACATAGCCGCCTATGTAATAAATCTCGACCAAAAAAGTTCAAAACAACCGGTCTCAGTCGCTCGGGGAGTGGCTACAACTTCTTGTGTAATGCGTAGCTATTGTATGGTATGAAATAAATATACTGCAATATAGTATGTATTAAACCGTACGTGCTTTAATGTGTATGCTATGCAGTTATGCACGATGCAGCAACAGGTCCACAGCTAGTATCATGTATGTCTTTCGATTGTAGGGCAGCAGCTAGTACCATGTATGTCTCCACTTGTAGGAGGTATACCACTCCAGTGTGGTTAATCTGTGGACTTAGTTGCTGTGACCTGTACTTGTAATAAAGGCTGAACCTTCAAATCAGATATTACGCCTCCAAATTTGAATTTATTAATTGGTCTGATGACCAAAAGTAGCCTGAACGTCGACACGTGTCTTATTTTGAATCTCGAGATGCTTCTATCTCATATGATGTGCTCGTTGCTGTTTTTACTTCATTCTGAGAAGGAAGACGAGAATGAACCATGGTTCTCTTCCACACATCTCAATATACTTGCGGACAGACAACTCGGAAAAGAAAAGAAAATGCATATATATGAAGCCGTATTTGGCTTGCATTTGCGTCTGACAGTGCTCTTGTCGTCCACTTATCTAGTCTGCCCGTGCTGTGGATATATCAGATATACCATGTAGTACGTTTCAAAATGTTGACTTTGTGCTCCCAATTCATAGTTGTTGATGTAATAGAAAAGTTAGGCACAGACTGTCATAACGGCACAATCAGTGTGTGCTGAAGCATTATTTTCTCACTTAGTTTGTCTCACGCACACTCACAGAAAGTGCAAGGAAAGCAACGGCTTGTCTGCTTGTGAGCAAAAAATATATATATCGCCGCCAGGCATTAGTTTATCGATAAGGGACTATGCTTGAGATGCATATACAGCTATTATATGGCGAACAGGGCAGAGAGTATACTTTTTTGCAATCACTAATCGATTATCCATTAGTCACTCGAAAGTTTGAAGCAGAAGTCGTTGTTCCTTAAAGTCGTTGTTCCTTAGAACTCTGTACGTGGATTTGTATTGAAACTGGTCAAGGGATACGGCAGCAAACAAACTCGGCTGGTTACCACCAAGCATGTAGGCTTAACCTTTCCAAAAAACACAACTGGACACATCTATCACCGTTTACGTTGAGACTGATACACCACTACGAGGGCTCAGTTACGATGATAATGGTTCCCTCCTTGTGTATAGTGAAACATTTAACTTTACGAAAAGGGCAGGTTAACAGATTTATTGTGTTTTTAAAAGACGTGAAATGCATGTGTTGCTTTGTACAGTTCTATGCGTGTAAGGTGCGACGCCCAAGAACCGCACGTATTCCCACAGAAATCTACTGACGTCAAGGTGGTTGCTTTCAAACAAGCTACGACGCACACCTGTTTCTTCATCCACTCCCAAACTGTGCATGCGACGACTGAGCAGCACGCACAGACCCATCCTCTGGAATACGCTCGCAGTGAATATCAAGAGCTATGTGACCTGCGCCAGGTACACCTTGGCTTTGCAAAGCCCATTGGTTTCCGAGCGTGCTCAGACAACTTGCATCTTCGCACATCAGAAGCACATCAGAAGCATCCGTTCGAAGCAGGGGGGTCCCCCTCAACTAAATATTGATGTCAGGCAGCTTATCTCGTATTTGCGTGCGGCAGTGCATCGGCACAATAAGTGCTTGAGAAGGTAGTGTGTGTCGGACTCCCTTCTCTGCATTTGGCCAAACCCAGCATGCATATCCTTTTCAGATGGCACACACTCTACATCTTTACATGGCGTCAAAATGATCCCCACACATATTTATTGTCACACTTTTCCGAACGCACATCCAACCACTCGCGATTTCATTTACTACCATAGATATAGGTAGCGCTTCGTACTCAACTTCTCACTTTGCTCTGGTCCGTACCCAAAACTATCGACATTTCAAACACCCCACTCAAGTACGTTTCGACCGGCGCTGCCAATCACGCAGGCGACAGCCCTTGTTGCGCACACTCACACTCTCACACACACCCTCGCTAGCCCAGATACGAGCTTGCCTGCGTCAGTAACTCAGTATACACGTGGCGTGCCTCACCGACTACACTGTTGACAGTATCCCATTGCGGTACATACGGCACCACACTGCCTGAATGGTCTGTGCCCGTCGCACGGTCGCGGCATTCATCTTCATCCGAAGGAACAGCCCGGGTGTGTCAGATACCCCTACACTATACAACACAACTGTACTGTACATGTACATCTGCCTCCCACACGCTACCCTCCTCTGTCCTCTATCGTGTGGGGCAACTCCAGTCCTCTATCGTGTGGGGCCTCGCGAGTCATCTATCGGGCATACACCCGGCGTGCTTCTCCAGCTCACGGCGTATCCTGATGATCTCCTGGCTCAGAAGAGCCACACTATCCTTGAGCTGGCTATTGGTTTTCTCCTCGTCCATCAGCACCTTCTCCAACTTCTCGATCTCATCGTCCCGTTTCTTCCTGCACTTCTGAGCCGCCAGCCGGTTCAGCTCGCGCCTGCGCGACGCGGCGTCCTCGGCGCTCAGACTACTTGGCTTGACAGCGGATAGAGGCCTCTTGCTTTTCCCGGCCGTCTTCTTCGCGCGTGTACCTGCGCCAGTACCAGTACCCGTACCCGTGCCACGCTCCATCCCATTGTTGGTGTGCGGTTGCGTGCCTTCTGCTGCCCCTGGCTGCACGGATAGTGCCACCCCATCGTCTCTGCAGGGGGTGTTGCGACTCCCGTGATGCCCGCCGGTGGCACCTTCTACTTTCCGGAATTTGTGGGGCTGTGTGTGTTGCCCGACTTTACCATCACCTGCGTGCCGTTTTAGGGCCGATGTGTTGGATACACCGCCAGGGTGTGGGAGAGCCGGTGCTACCATGGCAACGGACGACCCGTCCTCCACGTGGTTGATGTTATTGCTGTTGTGCTCGGTGTTAGTATTGCCCACATTCGTTGTATTCGATAGCTCCGATAGCGTTTGTATCACATCCTCGGCATGCGAACCTTTCCTGCTCTCTGAGATTTCTGTTTCGAATACGTTTTTCTCCGCCGCCTGTCCGTTTGGTTTGATGGCAAAATCTGATGGGGTGAACCGCTCATCCAGAAACAGAGACACTCCGGCAACATCTTTTGTATTCAGTCCTGTTCGAAAACCAAACACAAAGATATTGTTTTAGTATGGTATGAACAACTATGAGTACAAGAAAGGCGAACAGACTACAGAGAATTTCTATCACAACATTGCTCCGAACAATAGAGAAATATCAGCAGCGAGAACATACGTATCCATACGTAACATGTATGTGCGTATATTTGTATATGTATAGGCTTAAATTCATATAACTATATATATGTTTGTACGTGTGTGTAAAGATATATTAAAATATTATAAAGATGTGTATTTCCAAATTTTTAAATAC